TGTCTTCAAGGGTCTGGTGGGGGAGAGAGAGAGAGGGAAATAGATGATTAGAATATTTTCATTCATTCATTCAGTATGTCTGTATTTGAACAGCTAATATGAATGGAGTGTAGGGAGTGCACATATTCTGGATCTTAAATTGTAGCCAAGATGCAGCACTTAGCAGCCTTACATATTTTAAGCAAACTGAACCATGGAGAATATATTTTTTGAACATTCCTCAAATTTTATGTCTTCCCTGAAGCCATCCTTAATCACCAAGTGTCGGAAACTTTTGTCAGAAATCTGGAGGCAGGGAAGGTAGTGGCTGGAGATTTGGAGTCAAATTTAGACACAGGCTGAGTGAACTCTGCCGAGTACTTCGGGTTTCTGAGCCTTCGTTCCTTTGTTTAAAATAAACGAGGAGGCTTGCCTATGTGGAGTGGAGGATGGGTTGTACGTCAGTCACTCTCCCTCTGAGCTCCTCCAATTTCCCTGTGCACAGCTCTCATTAACAGCCCGGCTGGGCTTACAGTGTTTTTATGTACATTTCTTAGACTGAGATGTAGGCAGGGGCTATGTCCTGGTCCTTCTACGTAGACCAGCACAGTGCCTGGCCCAGAGAGGGCGCTCCAGATTTCTTGTTGAACGAGTAAGTTACATTCGTTTCCATTCCTGAGCACATTAAGAAATGAGCACTTTTTTATTGTTGGGTCTCCATCATGGTGGCAGTGCCACCATTGGAGAGGCTGCGGGTCCCAGCATGGTTGGGGTCAGGCGTGTCTGGACAGATGAGGGGTGGTGTCCATGCTCCAGCAGTGGCCGGCATAGGAAGCTGGGGCAAGTTACTTATTTTCTTGAGCCTCAATTTTTGTCTTTATAAAATGAGGGGAAAGCTATAATTATGCCACAGGGTTGCTGTGGAGTTTACAGGGCGAGCTAGACACGCTTCAGGGAGTGCTAAGCTCATAGTACACACCCATAAATGGAAACTCTTAGTAGGAGTACTAAGGGGATTAACCTGTTGGCCAAACATCCAGGCATGTATGTGACAACTTAAGCAAGTTGGCTGACTCATCTTTGGGGGAAAAAATTCATTTTACAGCTTCTTGCTAGGAGAGCTCTCTCAATGGGACAGCTCAGAAAATATTCAGACCCAGAGACTGTGAATCCAGACACGGCCACTCAAGGGCTGGCAGGACTGCTTAACTTAATGTCTGACCTCACAGCGGAGGTGAGCCTGGACCAGACCACACACTGTCATGAGACTGGCAAAGCTCAAAGCCGAGGGGCTGGTTGGGGAGATGCTTCACCCCCACAGAGCAAATCCAACCCTAGAGCCCCTCTCAGCGACTTTCCCTCTGTCTTAAGTATTACACGGCACCTTTTATAAAGTCAAAACTGAGAATTTTTTTCAGCATTTCTATGTATACAAGTGCACTTGACTGTGTTTCCTAAAAGCATGTGTGTAAGCAGGGCATCATTGAACATATATGGATTTCAAGAGACCCATTCACCTGGCTCATAAGAACTGTAAAGTAATTTGGGGTGATATCCCCTTTCTCAGTTGAAAAGCTTCTTTAAGAGGAGCCCCTGGTTAGGACTTGGGAGAGCTTTCAGATGGCCCTGCTAGTGCAGACGGCAGCCCCTCCCTCAATACGATGGATCTTCAACAGATCAGGGGACTTCAGGGCATCTAATGCCGTCAGCATTGAGCAGACCTCAGCATTTCGTGGAGGAATATCTTCCGGCTCCCCTTGTGGCATTTATGATAAACATAAAGTGGGGTTCTTGGATGTTTTTGCATTTGGGGGGGGATACAATCAATTCCTACATCTCTAAATTGTCTGATATTAATTCAAAGGACAACTTCCGAAAGCCTGGGTATTCTCCTGTGCCTGGGGTGGCGGGTGCTCAATAGAAACGGGGAATTTCTGTCCATCAGAAATTGATGTCAAGATGGCAGGAGGAGGAAGGAGGGCTCCCGAGTCCAGCTGAGGTACTGGGAGAGCATGTGGCCAAGTTCCTTGACGTCTGGTCTCAGTTCCCGGGTTTCTAAACATACACGGCGATTCCTGTCTTGGAGAATTAGGTGAGACCGGGTATGGCCATGTTTCTCCACTTCTCCAAGGTTCTCTTTATGGTTTCAGCATTCTCTCCTGCTTTTCTGCTTCCTCTTGGTCTCAGGGGGATCAGGCATACAGCCCACCTGGCATTCTCAACTGGTAGTGGGGGATAGCTTGGGAGAAAGGAGGGGGACAGGTGGGGACAGGTGGCCCCAGGGCCTCTGGGGAGCTGCCGCCTCTAGATAACTGCTCACTCAGCCGTGGAGAGCAGGAGGCCCCATCTGAGCTCCTGGGAACACGCACATCCTTATATTCAAATTCAGCAAACACAGCTGGCTCACAGCAGCTTTTGTCTGTTAGGGAAGACCTTTGGGTTTTTTTTTTGTTCACCTCTTCTCATCATTTAGGGAACTCAGACTCTACTTTCTGGACATGCCAACCCTCTTTTGATCCTCACCTGCACCATTCCTTTGCTCTGGACCTTGTCTCATCCTGTTCTTTCTTTTTTTTTAAATTTTTATTGTTGGTTGTTCAAAACATGACATAGTTCTTGACATATCATATTTCACACATTTGATTCAAGTGGGTTATGAACTCCCATTTTTACCCTGTATACAGATTGCAGAATCACATTGGTTACACATCCACTGTTTTACATATTGCCATACTAGTGTCTGTTGTATTCTGCTGCCTTTCCATCCTGTTCTTTCCACTCGAACAACTCTTTTCTTGTGCACTTGGCTAACTTGCTCCCATGAGTGTGTGCAGACAGACACCTTCTTTCTCATGGAAGCTCCCTCTGGTTCCTAGCCTGGGTATCCCTCCTGTGAGCTCTTGCACACAGCTGTGCACCCCCTTATCACGTCACACAGCACACTGGTTAGGAAAGGAGAGTGCATTCTCTTCCCTCCTTGGCCCATCAGAGCTTCGTGCAAATGGGGACTGTGTCATCAGTCTCTATCACATCATCTCTGGTGGCTTGCACAGCAGCGGGCACAAGGAGGGGCTCTGAATGTCCTATTGAATGGTACTGAGTCTTATCATTTACTCCAGGGTGGGGGGAAAGAGCAACCATGTAGACTTATATTGTAGATCAGACAAGAGCAAGGATAGAAGACAGGGCACGCTAGCAGCATTCAGGCAGACAAAAAAGAAAAATCACTCCTTCATTCCTACACGAGAGAGATGAGCTGGGCTGGGAGGGTTATCCAAGAAAACAGGAAGAAGGCAGAGAGAGGAAGAGAGCAAGAGAGTGAGATGGAGGTGGGCGGTTGGCACTGCTGGGGACCTCGGAGCTCTGCTAGCCCCTCTGCCGTCACTAGCCTCCTCCCTGACCATGTCCTCACCTAGACCACAGAAGTTCCTCAAGAAGACAGGATGGCATTCTGGGGTGGGCTTTGCTCATGGCTGATGGAACTGGCTGATCCAGGGCTCCTAGAGGATTTCATTTACTTGCCATTTTATTAAAGGTGCCTCATTTTATTACCAAATTATTAATGTGCAACATGCCGCCCAGAGGGGTCCAAGTTCGGCAATACAGAGGTATGGTAACTTCCAGGCATCCCTTTAGGACCTTATAAATCATTTTGGAGGTTCTTAACTTTATTATTTTTGAAGATAATGGGGGTCCCCTTTTAACTGGTCTCTGGAGAAGCCCACCTGGGCAAATTGTGCCTCTTCCCCTCTTCCAAGCTTTCAACAAAGAAACCCCTCCTCCCTCACCCCTTTTCTCAGCTCACTCCCAGGCCAGAGGCTGTGCCTGGGCCTTGGGTTTCCATGGGCCTCCCGGGAAGCACACACACCAAGGGCTTCTGAGGCATGTCCCATTATCTGGATGACACGGCCATTAGTAGCCATAGCAACCTCCCTTCCCTGGCTTCTGTGGCTCCAAGAGTCTAAATTTACACAGGTCTCTTCCAGATTTGAAGGGGTTATGGGGACCCAAGCAGAGTGGCACCTTCCTTGTGCCACGACAAGGCAAATGTGAAGCACTTTCAAACCTTTCAGGTAAAAAAAAAAAAACAACCTCAAATTTCAGATTGAGCAAACTTGAATCCTGACTCTCGGTCAAATCCAAAAAGAAAAGAAAAGAAGAAAAAAAAGATACGTCTTTTTCTTGCTTATTTTTAACAGCCGTGAACGCAAAACATACGGAGGCTGTGTTGATCAGAGAGCTATGACTAGCTTCCTGCATGGACAGGCTGGAAGACTGGTGCTGAAACAGGCCCAGGCAGCAGGGCTGTGCCCTTCTTATACCCTTGCAAATGAGGACGTGGGGTTATCAGTCCCTATCTTTCTTTAAGAACTTTGAAAAAGAACTCATCACCACAAAAAAATGGTAAATGTATTAGATAATACATATGTGAATTAGCCCCACTAAGCCATTCCACTACCTATACCTATTTCAAAACGTCATGTGGTACAGGGTAAAGGCACATGACAAATACAGGTAGAGCATCCCTAATCTGAAAATCTAAAATCCAAAATGCTCCCAAATCCAAAACTTCTCGCACACCAACATGATGGAAAAATTCCCCATGTGGAAGATCCCACATGGTAAAACTTTGTTTCATGCACAAAACTATTAAAAATATTGCACAAAATTACCTTCAGGTTTTGTGGAACATAAATGAACTTTGTGTTTAGGGTTGGATCCCAGCCTTAAGATGCCTCATTATGTATATGCAAATTCCCCAGCTCTGAAAAGAACTGAAATCTGAAATGCTTCTGGCCCCAAGTGTTTCATAGAAGGGCGACTCAGCTTGTGTGTCATGTCAATGACATCATTGATAGACACTGATGCTCAGCATCAATATATAGGGATGTTTTTGTATTAATTAAAAAGAGGAGAACGCTTTGGTCATCTGGGTCTCTGTACCCACCACCTATATTAACCCTGCCCGTGAGAGAGGAAGCCGGGATTCTCCCGTTGCCTGGGTGAGCAGGTGGCATTACCTGTCTAGGCCTGGCCAGCCTCTGCAGGGGCGCCGTCAGAGTCGGAGTCGGCCAGTTCCGTGGTGCCTTCTGCTGGGGTCTGACTCCAGCTGTCCGACCTGTCTGAGGTGACATCTTCCTCTCCCACGGTCACCTCCACATAGTCCACGACACCTGACTCCTCGTTCTCGTCGCTGCCCTGGCCGTCCCGGCTGCTGCCCTCTGACCGGTCCGAGGTGGCCTCTGAGGGCTTGGCTGGTAGACAGTCTTTCACTTGCTCGTTGCCCACTTTCACTCTGGGGCCCAACTTCTCCAAGTCCTCTTGGCAGAGTGTTTTGGGGTCCTTGTGACACTGCTGTACCATCTCACTTATGTTCTTGGGGCTCTCGGTGGCTGGTTTGGCTGCTTTCCTGGCTGTGGCATCGTAGCCGTGGTCGTCTGAAATGGGCTGCTGCTGGTACTGCTCCATCCACTTCAAGGTTCCAGTTTTGAGCAAGCATCTGTTTTCCTTGAACCAACGCACGATCTCAGTTCGGACCAGGCCGGTCTTGGCCGCTAACTGGTCGTACTCCTGTGGGGTGGGCCACTGGGTTCTGGCGAACGTGCTCCTCAGGAGATGAACCTGTTCTTGATTCTGTGGAATCGCTGGTGAAGGGCTGGGCAGAGAACTGGCTAGCTGGGCCCCCGCGAGCTGGTCGAGTCGAGACAGAGCACCATTGGGGGCCGCCACATCTGGGCCTTTTTTGCCAGACCCCATGGAATCCAAAACAGCCTGTTCCATGCTGTCCCGAAGCTTCCGCCTCTCTGAGAACCAGGAATCGATCTCTCTCCTGCTTAGCTTGGTCTCCACCCTCAGCCGATCCAGTTCTGCTTGGGTAGGAAAGGAGCTTTTCAAAAAGCTCTCTTCCAGGACTTTAACCTGACCTTGTGTTTTCTCTTTGAACTTCTGGGGGGCAAAGTCTGGGTACGCGTGGTACGTGCGACCGTGTCGGGCGGCTGCGATGGCCAGCTGGTCTTTGGCAAGGGATTCGCTGGTGATGTGAACGATGCCCCTCTGACACCGATACCGGTGGTCACTGAACCACTTCTTGATCTCGCTCCTGGCCAGGCCGGTGACCTCGATGAGCCGGTAGACCTCAGCATCATCGGGAAACTGGCTCTGGAGGAAGCTGGCCTTGAGGTGTGCTATCTGCAACTTGGTCTTCTTGCGGTCGCTAGCTGGGGTGGGTGGGGGGTGGGCCACCTTGGGCGGAGGCTCTGGCACCTGGGTGACGTGTGGACGCTTGGGCTCAGGGGCAGCTTGGGAAGTCACCAATGGTCTCTTCTGGCCATGGTTGGCCACTCCGGCCACAGCCAATGTGATGGGGGCACAAGAGACGGTTGTTGACCCGCTGGTCACCTGAGTCAGCACCAGGCTGGTCTGGCCAAGGATCTGGCATGGCAGAGCTGTCTGGAGGATGGGCTGTGACATCTTCGTGGGGGTCAGCTGGGCGGGCAGCACAGTGATCGTCGGTGGTACTGACTGGATGGTGCCGTTAAACATCTTCTTCCGGGCCTCCTCCACCTCCTCGGGGGACCAGCTGATGCCGTGTTTTAAGCGCTGCGTGGCAAACCAGATTCGGATGTGCTCCTCTGGGTGTTTGGAGGCAGCTGTCAGCCAGGACAACTCAGCCTGCGTTGGGTAAGGGAACTTGTTGAAGGAGTTGATCATGGTGGCATTTGTGTCCAGGGCAGAGTTGTATTTGGTAGTATTCAGTGGGACGGGGACCTTGGGGACAAGGTTGATATTTGGTGGCAGCTGTACAGAAGGCATGACGTGTCCTAATGTGTCTTGGAGGAGCTCCACACCTCCCAGTCTCGAGAGGATCTCAGCAGTGTCTGTCATCAGGCGGGCCGTCCCTTCCGCGTGGTGCTCGTGGGTGGCCTCCTCGGGCTTCTTGGGCGGCTTCTTGGCATCTGCTTTTGGTTTTCCTGTCTTCATGATGGGGGTTTTGCTCACTGAGATGCCGGGATCATTGTCATTCCCTCCAGGGCCACTGGTGGTGACAGATGCCACGTGGTTGGTGGCTTCAATGGACTGCTCCAAGATGGTTTGACTGTTGCGTTTGATCAACTTCAGCTTGAAGTTGGTCTCCCCAGGATGGAACTTGGAGTTGTGGTCAGACAAGGAGTCGTACTTTTTGGTTGTGAAGTTACATTCGGCACACACGTAGAGGGGGTTGAGGATCACGTTGGGGTGCTGCATGTCCACGTGCTCCGTGAACTCGTTCAGGTTTTGGGTGGAGTAGGGGCAGTATTTGCACTCATAACCCCCTTGGAGTTTTTTGGACTGGTTTTCCCCCATTGATTTCACCTCGATCACTTCGTTCTCTTTGGAAGCGTTTTCGGGTTCTGCTGCCCAGCTATCCTTGGCGGTGTCAGGCTGTGGCATGCCCATGCCTTTTTCTTTGGCCCGGTCTGCCTCCTCGGGCGCGTCTTGTTCCACCACTTGGGATGTCCGGACCATGCACGGGGTTGTGGATTTTCGCTTGCTCGCCATGCTAGCAGTGTGCAATGGCTAAATTTTGGAGGAGGGTAGTGGGAGGGCAGTGAAATTCTTGGAATAAATCAGAGAAAAGGCTTTTGGCTTTATTCTCCCTCAAATGGCTTTGGCTTCCTTGAATGCTGTAGTCTCCCCTTGGAGTTTTCAGAATGATTTCAGCACAGAAAAGTGTAACTGCACCAATTGCTGCACACACCAGGTAGCGTCATAGCTGTGGGGCAGGAACAAAGACAGAGTCAGTGTCTCTTCCCAATGCAACAGAAACCAGCATCTCTTTTGGAGTTGCTCCCTTGACCCACCCCAACTGGTGGCCAAATCAAACACTCATGTAAGCCCAGATGGCACGCGCGCAGGTGCTTATCAACATGAAAGGTCATATTCTTCTTTTCCCTTCTCAGGAAGGAAGTGGAAACTGGCCCGCAGCGAGCAAACAGGAAGGGGGTCACCACTTCATGTTTAGAGACAAACACATACAGAAAAGGAACCGGGTATTGAGCTCTTCTGAAGGGGGAAGGGGGTTGTGGAGGGAAAGCCGCGGGTGAGATGTTGCACAGGGGCTGGCGAGCTGCTTTTTATGGTCTATCAGAAGCAAGATGCTGACCTGGGACCTGCAAGTAGGTTTCCGTGGGTGTTAGGAAATGGATAGGAACACATTGCTTCTTATCATAAAAGCAAAATCAGGATGGGAAATCCAGAAAGTAAAGAAAAGTATAAAGGAGAATAAAAACAAGCATTCTAAATATTGTAGTTTCTTCATTTCATTTGAACAGGGTCCTGTTTCTGTAAATATTGAACAAGGCCATGAGTTAAAAAATGCTGTCTGTGGCTGTGCTTAGGGGATACTGTGCATGAAGCAGTCAGCCATTCAACTTCTGCTGGCTGTTTGGTTCCAATTTTTGGCTTTGATTAACAGAACTGCAATTCCTATTTCTGATAGCTTCCCTTGACAAAGGCCTAGAAATAGTTCTTGTGACCTGAATGGCTAAATTTTTGCCTCTATTGGTCTTTCCTCTGGCAAAATCTGAGAGGGTGAGCTTCCTACCCGTGTGACATAAAATAGCACCACTAAAAAGCCCTGCCAACTAGATAGGTGGGCCTCTTTCAATATGCTTTTATGCTTTTCTTAATAGCTAGTAAACTTGAGTTGTTTTAAAAGATTTTCTTGCCATTTATACGTATTCTTTTATCAATTGTTTATGCCATTTTAATATCGTGGTATTAAGTGGTTTATTACAAATTTGAGAGAGTTCTTTCTATATAAGAAATGTTAATACTCTGTTAAAATTTTTTTTCAGTCTATTGTTTACCTTGTAGTTTTCCATTGGGTGTTTTTATATGTTTAACATGTAGAAATTTTAATTTTTATATAGTAAATTTATCTTTTTCTTTTCTCTTGTGGCTTCATTGTGATTTTATATTTAGAAATTGATTCCCTTTCTTCACAGCTGAGACATGTTAACCCATATTTTTAAAGAGTGTTTAAGTTTCATTTCTTACATTGAATTCATCTGGTATCAAATTTATCTTAGGTTACACCATAAGCACAATTCTAACCATTTTTCTTGAATGTTCCCTAATATCTCAGTAGCATGTATTGTGCTTCTGATCTAGCTATAGAGCCTTGCATTTATGCCCTGCTTTCAAAATGTTTTTGTACATTTCGAGTACAGTTCGATATCTGGTAGAGTGAGTTTCTCCTATATGCTCTTCTTTTGCAAAATACTTCTTGGTTATGTAGAACATCTGTTCTCATAAGTTAGAATCAAAGGCAAAACAATCCTATTAGAATTCAAATTTTGATTAGAATTGCATTAAACAAATATTAATTTGGGAATACAGACACAATTTGCTTGTTAGGAAGCGGGCCACCCTCATGCAGGAGTGGATGTGTGGGAAGCCTTTTATCTTGTGGCTAAAGAAGGAGGGAAAGTGTTTTGGAACAAGGATACCTGACCTCCTGGAGAAGGGAATGGAAGAGATGACCCATCATCCCTCACCCCTCCCACTGGCCTGGTTTGAGTCCCACTGAAGAGAGGGCCTTAGGGCAGAACAAAGAACTTGCCTTCAAGAGCTGCTAGGTTGCTGGGCACAGTGGTGCACACCTGTAATCCCAGCAGCTATGGAGGTAGAGGAGGAGGATGGTGAATTCCAAGCCAGCCTCAGCAACTTATCAAGGCCCTAAAAAACTCAGTGAGACCCTGTCACAGCCTGGGGATGTGGCTCAGTGATTAAGTGACCCTGGGTTCAATTCTCATTATTTAAAAAAGAAAAGAAAGCTGCTATGCCCACACCCACCTGCTGAGGGGCTCAGGTGACAAACCTGAGCAGGACTTGGGAGAGAGGTGTTTCCCCTGGTCAGCACAGAACCTGGCCCTCCAACATGGGAGCACTGGATGTTTCAGGCTGGGCAATTCCCTCAGCAGTCTGGGGTGAGGATCTTTCAGGGATGAAGAGAGGACATGGGAAAAGCAGAGAGTGACAGTGTCTTTTTGTCAATGTCACTGTAACTGATGTATCCAGTCTCCATCTCCACATGAGCTTCGGCCTCTGGAACCTGCTCTGAGCCTCAAGAGTTCATCTCCACCAACAGTCCTTCCATCTCTCACTTGAGCCAGTGTCTCTCTGCCTCCCCCACACAATCACTCAGTCAGCATCCTGTCCACTCTGGTTTCAAAGCAGACCCAGTGTTGACCCTGCTCACCATTTCCACCTCTCTCCCCCGTGTCTAAGCCACCATGTCTCCAGCCTGCATTACCATGACAGCCTCCTGTGGTCTCCTATTTCTTCTCTCAGGAGCAATGCAGGGAGGTTTTGAGATCAGAGTTGGTTCATGTTTCCCCTTCTGCATGGAGCTGCCTTCTCCTCCCCATCAGGATGAACTCTGTTCCTTTGCAACAGCCTGCAAGCCGGGCATCTCTGGCCCATGCTGCCCTCTGCCTCTTGCTCACATGATCCAGCTGTTCTGCTAGGAGCATCGCTTTCCTCCCTGGCCTCTGTTCTATTCCACTTGCTCCTGTGTTCTACTTCATCCCACCTTTCCTGACCACCACCCCTACATAAGCGATGCCTCTTCTGGCCCCTATTTCCTCAATTTGTTTTCTTCAAAGCGCAGTTCAAGGGTAACCAGTTTGTTTATCTGTTTTGTGGTGACAAGGGAGGGAGGGAGTGAGCGTCTACCGACGTGTTTGTGTCTCCTTCCAGAACAATGCTGCCCAGTGTGGCAGCCACAGGCCCCACCTGGTTCTGAGTTTATGTTAATTAAAATGTAGTACAATTAAAAATTCAGTTTCTTAGTCACACTAAGCCACATTTCTGGTGCTCAAGAGCCACATGTGGCTAGTGGATGTGGTGCTAAGTCGTACAGAACATTTCTACCGTTGTATGCGATGTTCTAGCGGACAGCACGATTCTAGAATAGCTCTCTAAGGCAAAAACCTTCCACCGTGGTTTTCCCAGATACTAGAACAGGGCCTGTCCCACAGTATGTTTTCTGTTTTGCATAAATGTTGCCACATATTAACTGCAGGAAGGCTACCTTGCTCACGTAGGCCAGTGAGGGATGGTAAAACCTCATGAACGTTCAGTTTTGTGTGTTTGCCTGGTGGTGTGTATGTGTGTGGGTGTGTGCTGGGGGTTTTATGAATGGAGCAACATTGTAAGGGAGAGATCCTCAAGTTCTGCCTGGGGAACTATTGACACAGCAGAATGTGGCCAAATTTGCCCCATTGGCTAAGGAGTTTGGGATATTTGTTACAATTTTCAAAAGAGAAGCAGCAAAAGGAGACTTTTTTTCCCCTGCAGAGTAAAGATTTCAGGCAGAGAAAGGACTTTTCTTACGAGAAATGCCCATATTCAGAACAATTGAAATCTGTTGACAAGTGAGCCCACAGATAAGGCAATTTTGGTGGAACATCCTGGAACATCTCAGTGTTTCAAAAACTTACTTGGCAACTAGGCAACCAGACTAGGTTGACCAGAAAGGGAAGGAAAGAAGGAAAGAAACTGGGGGGGGGCCTCAGAACACACGAGGCCTTCATGTCTCAGGGTCCCCTGGAGGAGGCATAAGAAACACTGCCCTTGGAAGCATAATCGTGGCATGACCAGGGCTGAGTGTCTGTGGGGCACAGCATGGGAGCATCTATTTGAAAGGCTGTGGGCCACCAGTAAGGTGAGGAGCAGTTCCACGAGGCCTGGCACTCACCAGCATTAAGGCTGAAGTGTTTGGGGCAAATTCTTCACGTTTGGACACTCAGTGGTCAAAGTTGGCAAAAACAAAAAAGGGATAAACAAGTCAATGTATGAACAAGATGCTAAGACTGAACGCCATCAGCGTCCCTTCCATAACGAGCAGCAAGTGTCCTCACCGGCCAGCTCCGAGTGGCAGATCTTGCCCTGGGCCAGCTTCCCAACAGGTCTGCACTGGGCACTGGCTATCGACGCCAACCTGCAAACTGTCCCCTTCGAGGGAGCAGGGAGTTGTCCCTGCCTGTAGAGGTTACCCAGCAAGTCAGAAGTGAGCACAGTTGAATATCCTGAGACCCAGGCAGAGGGGAGGTAAGAAGTTTCCTTTATTCAGAAACATGGTCTGCGCTGGACCTTTCTGTCTGGGAGTCCCACCCCTAGGAGAGCCAGGAGAGTGACCAGCATGCATGATGTGGAAAGAAAACAAAGCACCACAGACACTCTTGCCTCCTTGGTATGTTTCTGACATTGACTCAGTTTCCCTTTCATCCTCTATAGCATCTGCTGTGCACCCCAAAGAAACCCAACCACGAATGAGAAATGACAAAACCTTGTTAGCGATTGTGACTTGGCGGGTGGGGCAGAGCCTGGGTTCTGCATCTGTGGCTCCGGGTGAGATAAGGCTCTCAAGGAAGCCCCCTCCTGCTGCCTCTCCTCCCCACCCTCATGTCCAGAGACAGAGCGGCGATTTCCTGACCTTTCCCTACAAATGGCCTGCAGCCCCCCTGGGGAAGGAAAAATGGGTCAAACTGCCAGACTAGCTCCAGGAAACTCTTCTCAAGGTGGGTGACATTTGCCTGGAGGTCTGTGTGGGGGAAATGGCGGGGTGCTTGACCTCCTGGGGAAGGAGAGGAGTCCTGTTGAAGAGGAGCCTGCAGCTGGGGGTCTCCAGCCCCAGAGCACAGAGGTGGTGGGGAGCCGTGGCCTGGGGTGCCAGTGCTCAGGAGTGCCCAGCTCCCTGCAGATGGCCTCGAAGATTCCACCTTGGGCTTTGCCAGGACACCACTTCTCATTTCAGAGCTTTCCACTGGGGCTGTCAGAGGAAATAACAGGGCTGTCTTCAACCTTTCAAAGGAAGCATCTTGTGAAGACATCAAAGCCAGAAAGGGTGCTTTTAGCTTTGCGAGGTCTTCCGACAGGGCTGTTAACAGATTCCGCCTCAGTTCATCCACGTGGATCTTTCTTTGGGAAGGGTTGTTTCTTTATGTTTTAAAACCACAACATGACCCCTCTCTGAAAAGAATACTGATGGGCAGGTGTGTTGGGGGATGTGGTGGTTGGGGTGGGAGGAATTTCTCAGCTCCAGATTCCCAGCTCTTCTCTTTTCTCTCTGTCCTTGCTATTATTATTATTTTTTTCATCTGCTTGAAGGAAGTTGTGTTTGGAAGGTCATTGGTGACCCTGAGTTCATTCCCAAGTTTTCTGATTTCTCCCATCCTCCCTTAAATCTAAATTTGAATTTTGGGGGTGGGCCTCCGACATGGTTCCCAAACCATCACATATCACCTGCAGTGTTTTGCGAAAACACCCGTTCCCGGGCCCCAGTCCAGACTCATTAAACCCAAACCTCCAGACACAGGCCCCAGGATCCTGTATTTGTAGCCAGCAGCCCATGTGACTCTGCTGGGCAGCCAGGTTGGTAGTCGGGGCAATGAGACATCACTTGACCTCTTCCACTTGAGAGCTGGTTGGGCAAAAGCCAACGCTGTCCCATGAAGAAGCAGAGATGTTGTGAGTGGCATTTTTGATGCAGCTGAGACTAGAGATAGCTGCAGCTCCCTGTGGGGTCATGGGAGTAGAGAACTCCCAAGGGGAACGATGAATGATTCAGAGGACCATGTGGAAATGGGAGGGGGGCGGGGAGAATTGCACAGATAATGATCTTCAAAAAGAATAGAATGCAGAACGTGGGAATTCAGTAACACAGGATCAAACAGCTCCGCTACCATAGGAGCCACTGCAGAGGGGCTGGCGGTTTGGTAGAGATGAGCTTTAAGAAGCTGTTCCCTGTTACCTGTGTTTTTTATATTGCTAGTTTCTCAAGCAACACATTTTTAAAAAGAAAAGGGGCTTGCTGAGCTGGTCAAGCCTAGGCACGATAGCTAAGGAAAGCGTCATTTCCATACAAAATCATGACTCTTTCCACAGCTGCAAATGACGGCTATGATCTCCATTTTACAGACAAGCAAACTGAGGTTCAGTGTCTTACACAGGACGAGGAGTCTCCGCTCTCTGCCTTTGCTTGTCACAGTTGTCTACTGGTGACAATTCCACTTCCTGATACTGGATCTATAAGTTAAATTCCTCACAAATTGCTTGTGGCCTTCTCTCACTGGGAGCGTTCACAGGAGTCAGACTTCATTGAATTGTGATGCCTTTCAACTTGCTGCTCTGAATTTCTCCCTCATGGTCCCTCCTTGTTGAAAAAGCTTTGTGAGTGGCAATGGACGAAACGAGGTCTGTGGCTACTTCCTGCCCGTTAGCATCATCATGGATATGAGCACACAGGGCTCTGAGAGGAGGCGGGGTCTCCGGCCAGTGGTGGAATAGAGGTGGTGGCTTCAGACAGGGTAGCCACTGAGGGGCGGAGAAAACCAGCTACACCTGAGAAGGCAAACCTGTCCCAGATGTGAGCCCAGGGTTTCTCCTTTACTCAGAAACACTGGGTCCCAAGGCGCAGAGTCTTGCAGCTCTTCAACAGGTCAGCACATGGCCTGCGGGAGCCTTGCTCACCTTCAGTGCTCACCTGGCTAGTGAAGGTCGGGCACACTAGGGCCAGCCTCTGCAGTTTGAATCCTGGCTCTGTCATTACTAGTGGAGGAGTCCACCTTTCTCTGGCCACAGCCAGGCTGCCCACTTCACAGCCCCCAAATCCATACACCACCTGGAGCACCCCAGACGTATACACTAACTCACCACGGCCAGCCTTGGTTCCTGTAGTTATAACCCACAAGGTTGGACCGGATGAGAACCTAATGGGTGACTTGGACGTGTAATCTAGCCTTGGTGCAGAGGGGGTTGGCAGTGTGTTCAGATGTATAGTTCCACTGTGGTCCCCCATGTCATCCTTGGCTGCCAACCCTGTAGAAGGGGCTGTGCACTTACATGAGCTCATCCTCTGAGCTGTGCTGCTTGGAGCTCTTTTTGTTCATCTTTTGTTCTTGCCCATTGAATTTTCTATGGAAACTGTTCCAATATCTTAAATGCTCACAACTTTTTCTGTTTCAGTAGAAAGTTGTACCTTGATTCTTACTGGGAAAATCAAAGCTATCTGATCTGATCAAGGTCACATATCAACATCACCTTCTTCCTCATCTCCCCACATCTCTTCTCTCCAGCAGGACAGAAGGAGGTAGTGGGTCTCACCATGAGAAGGCTAATCCCCCACCTAGCCTCCTTCCTCTCTCTCATCAGTTCTCTCTGCTATTGTCTCCCTTCATGGGTCACCTTCCCTCTGGGGAAGCATCTCAGTTTGCCAGTCCCCTAAAAAAGTAAGCAAAGCAAGCAAACAGGAAGAGTGAGACTGAATTTCCCACAATGGCATTATTCCATCACTGACTGCAAATCATTATTCCAACTCTTGCTTTCTGTGTCTTCTGGGTGATAGAGTCATCACGCCTTTGGGGTCTGGTGCCACCACTCACGGTCATGTTACCCTGGACAAACTGTGTCAATCTTTCGAAGCCTTGGCCTTTCCATTTCCAATTTGGGGAGGAAAATAGCACCCACACCAAGGGGTTGCTGAGAGTCTCTAGTGAGCTAATTTGCATAAAATATTCAGCTCGGTGCCTGATCTGTGATGATGAGCTCTGAGCTCACAACACAGGGTACTTGTTGTTAAGATGATTCACCATCAGTTTTCTCAAAGGAAGTTTGCAGTGAACACTGCTCTCTGCTAGTCTTACTGCATGGTTCAGCCATTACCTGTGTGGATTCTGCACTCCCTGCTTAAATATTCCAAATTACTGACTCTGGAGCAAACTGCCTTCCTTGATATCCCTCCCCTGGTTCCTCTGGGCTGTGTCCTGGTCCTCTTGGCCATTCCTTCTTTCCATTTTCTGCTCTCCACAGGTGCATCTCCATGCCCTTGACTCCTTCTCATCCTTCCCTTCATCTTCCTTGGGGAACTTATCATCTGAAAGCTTGCAGATGCGTTTAGACACCTGCCAAGCCGACCTTCCTGGCCCCCCTCCTTCCTCCAGAGCCCCAGGCTTTCCTTCCCAGACACTGGCTGCCAGCAAGAAGGTAGGATGGACCAGAGGGATTTGTAACTATGCAAAGGCTTGGGTGGCCACTTTACTGAAGCTCACTTTTAAACAAGGCCAAACTTCATGAAAACCAAGGAACATAATATATGAACAGAATATGGATGATCCATTCTCAGTAGAGAAGAGACTCTATTCTCCTAGGAGAACTTGGCAGAGGCTGGGCTGGATGGCCTGCAGTGTCCTCCAACCACATACTCTGCATCCATGACCGCTACTAGGATCTTGTGTACCTTACTTACATTTGACACACTGAGAACCAAGTTTGTCTCGTGCCTCCCAGACCTGGACTTTCTATAATGGTCCTTACACTAACAAACGTACCAGAAGCTACTGTTGTGCAGGCTGGGATCCTGGATTCTTCCTGCTCCTCCATTTCCCCCACCCCCTTTTATCTGTACCCTCTGACGCTGTCCTGGAAGCCTCCTCATTCTTCGTTCCTCTGCTCCAGGCTGGGTCTGCCTCGCGGTTTCCCTCCCTACCTCATGGTCGGGCCTGTGGGAAGCAAGCATGGTCTGTCCAGCATCCTTTCCCTCCTCTTCTGGCGGTGTCTGGGCAGTGTTTCTAGAGGAAAGGCCCACCCACTCTGGGCACATGTGGAACCCCAGCAGTGTGCATGTGACTGGGTGCTGATCAGGAAGAACATTGTGTCCTCCAGGAACCATGAGCGATTAAGGAATGGGCCCCCATCCAAGTAGAGCAATTGGAATCAGTGCCATTTCCTTCTGGGGCTTTCATTGGAACCACTGGAAATACAAATATGCTCCTTGTCTGGAGGTGTTGAAGGGATCCGATGTAAGCCCAGAAGTGCTACTGGTTATCTTGTCACCGAGAGCCGTGTGGAGAGAGGCAGAGAACGGGTCCTGGTAACATCGCGCTGTGTCTGAACCCAACAGACAATGGCTTTTCCGTTGTGCCACTTTGTGGAAACCAGTTGGATGGGGCTTTCTGTCTCTTGTGACTGAAAACATCCCAATGGACCCACTTTCAGGCCCACTTCTCCGCGGCTACCATGTTTTCTAAAAGAGCCCTTCTCAGCCTTTTTCTGCCACGAAGGCCTGCCGGGTGCCATGGCCACTTGCAACTCTCTCTCTCAGGTCCCTGCCATCCTAGTTGTGCTGGCTACAATTCCACACCCTTCCCTCTCCCTTAAAAAAGAATCTCAGAACATGAGTGGGAGTGACATTTTTATAGATAACCTTGTGTACTTGCTAATTGAGAGAAACAAGCCACTGACAGACTTCAAAACTTTATTTTTAGCAGCAGATTTCTTGCTGCCACATACCTCACAATGGACGCCATCACCGAACACCCTGTTCCTACATAGGAATCCGATTGCATCATCTCTGTCTTCAGAACCTCCCTAGGAGTACTGGGAGCAAACTGAGAGAGACGCTGCTGACCATCCAACTCCACCACAGCACCCCGTTCCCTTGCTCCAACATCCCGGCATTTGTAAAGTGAAATACAGCAGAAGACTATTTTTCTTTTCTTTTTTCCAAGAGACAAACATGAAA